TCCCTGGTGCCGACCTGCAGGAGGGGCCGTCGACGCAGCAGGCCCTGGCGCGGGAGCAGGGGCTGCCTGGTCTCCCGGCAACAACCGAACCTCCCGCCGCTGCGCACTTCCGCCCGGCCAGACCCTTCCCCTCGCTTCCGGTTCCGGGTTGCAGGGCGCGCACGTGGGGAGGAGCTGGAGGAGGCGGAGCGGAGCGAGCCGGGGCTGCGGGCGGCGTGACCCGGGCCGGCCGGGAGAACCTCTCCTTCCCCCGCCGCCTGCGCGGCGCCACCCGGGGCGCAGGGTCGGGCCGGGCCGGGCCGGGCTCGGTGCGGGAGCCGGGGGCCGCACGGGGGGAGCAGACGGGACCCCGACCCGCTGGGGCGGGATGGGGGAGTTCCAGGTGCACCGGGTGCGGTTCTTCGCCTACGTGCCCGCGGGGATCCGCTGCGTGGCTCACAGCCCCCGCTCCGCCCGCCTCGCCCTGGCCCGCACGGACGGCGCCCTCGAGGTCTACAACTTCGCTGCCAACTACTTCCAGGAAAAGGTAACGGGCCGCCCGGAGCCGGGGGGGGTCCCGCCTCCGCTGAGCCCATGGGCAGCCCCCACCCAGAGCTGCCGTCCCGGCGCGACTCCAGCCTGTGCCTTGGGGAGAGAACCGGGGGGGGGGAGCCCTAGCTGGAGCCTCAGCGCCCACTGGGGCGTGCGTGGGGCCGGGAGAAGGTCCTAACCCCCCCCCAGAGCAGGACGCCGGCCCCCCGCAGTCTGGGCCCCGGGGCACCCTGAGCAGGCAGCTGTCACCGTTGCCTCGTGTGTAGCACACAGTGCTGAGCAGCGGGGAGTGTCATTGGCTTTGTTGTGCTTCAGCTTCTCGCTCGCTATGGCACGGGGGTCTCTCCCCCTAACCAAGCACCCCCCCCCCCAGTGGGCGAGACTTCATACAGGGATGGGAATGGAACATTCCTGACCCCCCAAAACCCTGGGGTAATGGAGGAGTCAGGAATGTGCCCGAGGGGGGGCCGGGGAGCTGCTCAGGACAGTGTTCCAGGGCTGGTTCAGCCCTACGTGCTCGCCTGGGGCCCAGTGGCTTCGCTGATCTGGCCACGCGTTGGGGGCTAGTGGAGGAGCTTGGGGCCCGTCCCAGCAGGCAGCGCTATAGGGAAGGGTACAGCTGTACTGGCTGCCTGGGAGTGACTAACCTCTACTAGCTGGTGTATAGGGAGCACTGACTGGGGGCGTTCTCAGCCCTGGCCCTCCCATTGGGGATTGAGGTAGGGGAATTCCATAGGAGCAGAGGATGGGGGACACAAAATGAGACTTTGTCCTTATATGGTGCTCAGACCTGGGCTGTCTGAGCCCGGGTCGCTTCCAGGGGAAGCGGGATGGTGGGATTCATCTGTGCATCTTTTCAGGGTATCCCAGGCCATGAGACGAGATCCACAGAGGCGCTATGCTGGGCAGCCGGGGATCGGCTCTTCGGAGCAGGCCTGGGCGGAGACATCAGCGAGTATGATTTAGAGAAGCTGCGGGTCAAGTACTCCCTGGATGGCTTTGGGGGCCCCATCTGGAGCATGGCGGCTGATCCCAGTGGCACTCAGCTGGCAGTGAGTACCTCTGGCTGGAAGATCCCAGGGAAGCCTGCCAGCTCTGTAGCTTGGTTCTGCCATTGGGCCAGGATGTCACTTCTGGCTCCTGCTGGCCTATGGAGCAGATGAGGTCTGCCTCCCTTGCTGCTGCTCCCAACTAGCAAGCTCCCTGGTGTTCTGAAAGCCAGGTGCATACTCGGATTGTCTTCAGTGGCTTCACTGCTGTCCAGCCTCACAAGGCATGATGGACTGGGTCTGTGCCGGGCAATGGGACTGCTTGGTGCAAGCCGCAGACAGTGCTGAGATTGGGGAGGGGGAGAATCGTACATGTTGGTTCCGGGGAGTGATGGAGTGGGGACTGCAGAATCTTCTTCCCCCTGCCGTGGGTGGGTGTGCAGAGCCCCTTCCCACTACCACAGATCGCAGTGTGGGGTAGGGACTGTGAGGCTCCGCTCCCCCCCCCGCTGCTGGTAGCTGATGGGCTGTGAGCAGTGCATCGGGGAAGGGGGTGGGCATAGAGAGCCGGGTGGGTGGCATCATAGTTGAGTGGTGGTGAGATGTGCCCACGAGGCCCAAGGGCAATTTGTTCTCAGAACTACTTCAGCACAGGGCCCTTCCAGAGCGCAGAAGGGGCTGAATGTAAATCTCTGACCAGCAGGAAGCAGAGTTGTGGTAAAATCTCTTCCCCTTGTGGAGATGGAGGTAGAGGAGTTCTGTGTGCTAAGCAATACTCCTCACCAAACAGTGGGGCAGGCCGGGCTGGCAGTGCGGAGCCGTCCTGGCCTTGCTGGGTCGCTGTGCCAAGCACTCTATTGTGCTGGGAGCTAGAACTGACTGTGCTTCTGAGCTTCCATGTTCAGGCAATTGGGGAGCCCGTCATTACCTGCCCTTGGCAGCAGACAGGTGGGACGTGAGCCAAATAAGGGCTTTAATCATCTCTCTCTCGTGTTGTCTCCTCGCTCGCCTGCCCTCCATAGGTTGGCTGTGAGGACGGGTCAGTGAAGCTTTTCCAAGTCTTGCCTGATAAAATCCAGTTTGAGAGGAGCCTGGACCGGCAGAAAGGTAGATTCGATGGGGGCAGAGCATGGCAGAGGCTGATGGGAAAAGCTGTGGTTGGGGGGAGTGATGAAGGGGAGACTACAGAATCTACTTCCCGCTCCCTTTAAATGCCCCAAGCCTGGTCCTCCGCAGCTCTCTCTGAAGCCTGCCATGCCTGCCCTGGGACTTGTGTTCTCCATTCCGAAGAAGCAACTAAGATGAGTTGAATCTGCTTCAGGTGGGACCCACTGCCACCAGGGAGCCCTCCAGAGGCCCCACACTGAGCAGCGGGAGTCACAGCCTGGCCTCTTCCCCAGTCAGGTGGCCATGGATGGGGTCTTGTGGGCAGAGGGCAGTTAGAAGAGACAGTGTGGTCACTCAGGAGTCCAGGGTGTGAGTGTGGTGACGGGGAGGCTGGTGCGCACCTCTCTGAGAGAAACGTGTCAGCCTCCCATGGATCCAGCTGGCCCTGCTTCTGAACTGTCCTCTAGCTTAGCCTGTCCCAGCCCTGTACCCTCGCCCCTATTGGGAAGGCACAGCACCTTCTATTTCTGCCACCCAAGGCTGGGGATTCTGCCCCATGGCACTGCAAGGCAATTGCTGAGTGCAGGCTTGCACTGAAGGTTGGGGGTGAGGGGCATTGGTATGGGTTGGCTCATGTGAGGTCTCCTTCCCTGCTGTGTAATTCTCCAGGGCGTGTCATGTCCCTCTCCTGGCATCCTTCCGGGACCCGCATTGCTGTTGGCTCCATCGACCTTCTCCGAGTCTTTGACGTCAAATCAGGTGACTAGAAGCGCCCAGCAGAGTCGTAGTGGGGAGCGTTAGCGTCCAGATGCCCCTGAGTGCTGGATGTGCTGGTGGGATGTCCCCTGAGCACCTCTTGTCCACGTGGGCCGTGTGCTCGCCCTCCCATTCCTGCGGCCCGGCTGCTCACTCCCTTCCCCCAGCAGAGTTCAACTGCACCAGACGGAGCCAGCTGTGCCCTGCGGACTCCAGGCCAGGTGGGGTTGCTGGTCCAGGTACCCGGCATTCCTGGTGCAGCTGAATGGGGCTTCTGAGCAGATCGCCATGGAGGAGAGAGGCTCGGAGCCTGGCATATCTGTCATGTTAGCGAGGGGCCCAGCTCACGCACCCTGCCCCCACCCTGAGCTGTAAGCTCCCCAGCGCCCCTCTCCGCTGCTATCTGGGGTTTTCTGTTTCACAGGCCATGCTATCCAGCGGATCCTGGTGGACCGGCGCCTGCAGGGGCTGTACAGCCGTGAGTGCGTGGTGTGGAGCGTGGCATTCCTGTCCGACGGCACCATCGTCAGCTCCGATTCGGTGGGGAAGGTGCAGTTCTGGGACGCGGAGAAAGGAACCCTCCTGGAGACCCACCCAGTCAGCAGCTCGGCTGTGCTGTGTCTCGCTGTGTCTGAGGTAGGAGGGGCCTGGCAGCTCCTGGGAGGCCCCGTGCGTAGGCTGGGCAGAGGGATGGTGACCATGTGGGCTCTGCGCAGGGATGCTAGTAATCTGGGATCTCCCCCCTTATCTGCAGCATCTTCTGTGACACTGGCTGACCCAGAGCAGCTTGGCCAGGAGCCATCCCCACCTGGTTAAAGGGCACTGCAGCCTGCTGGGGTGGATGCTGCACTGGCTGGGAGCTCGCCCATCTCCCACGCTCTTGGGCCCGGGTGGAAGGAGCTGTTGGGCTCTGTCCAGCACCTAGTGCGATGGGGGTTCACATCCCTTCCCTTCCCTTGGCACTGCCCAGTCCTTCACTGTGGGCACGGCGAGCCATGGCTGTTTGGTTTCTCCCCCCCCCCCCCCAGGAGGAAGACAGCATCGTGGTGGGCACTTCGGAGGGGGCGGTGTACCAGTTCCAGCTGCTGCCGGTGAAGTGGGGCAGTGCTGAGAGCAAGTGGGTGCGGACGAAGCCGTTCCAGCATCACACCCATGACGTGCGGGCCGTGGCACACAGCGCGACAGCACTCATCTCTGGAGGTACGGGGTGAGGAAACTGCACCAGCCTAGAAGGGGGGCTCTGATCGCTTCTGGGCTTGGCTCAGCACAGTTTAGCCATCTGGGTGTCTCCTCCTCTTTCAGGCCTGGATGCCCAGCTGGTGATCCGCCCACTCATGGAGAAGGTGCATGGAAAGGGCTATGATGCTGCCCTCCGGAAATTCACCTTCCCCCATGTAAGTGCCGCGCCCCGTGAGCTCTGCCTCGGTAGCCCCGCTCACCAAGTCCCTTGCCGGAGCCACTGACTCCCGTTTGCTTTGAGGTCCCCAGAAATGCAGGCCTGTGTCACTCCTGCTCTTGGGATTGCTCCAGAGCCGGCCCTTCCCTGTTGGACTGGCAGCCTGGTCCCTCTTCGCCCTGCCTGGTTCCAATGGGGTGCTGTGCTGGCTGGGGAGTCCCATCGCTGGGGATGGCCCGTGCCGCTTGCCGACCTGCTGGGGAGAATGGGCATCAGAATGTGCTGAGTGTCTGGAGCTCAAGAGGGGCCTGGCCGGCTTCCCACGTGCC